GAGAGAAGAGAGAAAGGAGAAAGGAGAGCGAGGAGAGAGCGAATGGAGTTGAGAGAGAACGAGAGCAGGAGCTGAGAGAGGAAGAGGACACAGAGAGCGAGAAGCCCAGGAGAGAAAGGGGGGGAGAGAGGCGAAAGCAGAGAGAAAGGGGGAGAGAGCGAGAGACAGAGAGAAAGGGGGGAGAGAGCGAGAGAGGAGATGAGAGAGAGAGAGAAGAGAGAGAGGAGAAGAGAGAAGAGAGTAGAGAGAGATGAGACGAGAGAGAGAGAACGAGAGAGAGAGGAGAGGCGCGCGAGAGACGAGGGGGGATAGATAAAAACTTGCACAAAACATCATTGGTCAGTCGCAGACTGAATCCGTCCATCCGTCCTATTCGTTGGTCGAATTTCACTTATTAATTTCAATGACAACTATAAAATATTTCCCAAGTGCCAATCGCCTCGCCGTAACGCGGAGAATGACACGTTTTCAATGGAACATCGAGGCAGCGAGCGTTCAGTGGTTACCGATCTCCAGTTATAGCATACATGAGTGCGCAAGGCTATACGCACGACGTCTGATGCCGACCTAGCTGGTGTTTGGAGACACTTTATTCATCGATTTTACATCATGATATATTTTATTTAATTTTATTATTAAATATTATTAGACGAAACGGCAGTAATTAAAAGCTTTTTTGCATAAAGAACCACCAAGTCTAATTAAGTTGTAAATGGAACTTATCGGCAAGTGTATATTTTCAATTTACGGCAAGCCATTTATTAAACGAATGTGGTTACAAATTCATATATAATCTAGCACTATTTGATCTAGTAAATATTCTTTTAATCACTGGTAAGTTCATGTTTTCTGAAACCATGTATTCACACACGGTCCCACCGTGATTGTCGCGTATGATTTTACGCCTGTGGGCCCACTGTCAGCCAGGCATTGCAGAAAGAATTTACTTTAGATGTTCTGATTATATACTCGTTTTAATATTCATTAGTACATATATCACAATTACGTATATTGAAGTCCGACACGTGTGTAATTACCACATGCTCTTCACGATTGAAATCTTTACAATAAAATATAAGTATTACTCTGGAACTAAAATTGTTCGAGGGTAACTATTTCTGTGATGGCGATATATTTAAAAAAGATGCCCCCACAATTAAAAAATTTGCAAAGAAAAGCTCTACATAATTTTCCAGTAAAGAGTAAGGTGGTAGGGTAATAGAGTGCATGCAATCACTCGGTTGCGCGGTGGAATCTCCGCATGTAGAGTAGAATAAACCTAGAGGCAGATAGAGCAGTATAGTAGAGTAGAGTAAGAGTACGAGCAGTAGAACAGTATAGTAGAGCAGATAGAGTGAGTAGGCCTGCAGTGCAGTAACAGGCAAAGTAAGAACAGGTATTAGTTAGAGAGAGTTAACATGGCGTAGCTAGAGCAGATCATAGAATCCAGTAGAGTACAGTGCAGTAGAGCAGAGTAGAAATTCAGTTAGAGGTTGTTGTTGCGTGGACCTTGACGCTGGCGTCGACCAATTTTCCAATTTCTAACATTTTCCGTGGCCATGAAGTTTCAAGGTATGGCCTTGGGCCAAGGCCCATTACATTTTCCAATTTTAAATTTTTCCGTGGCCATGAGCTCAAGGCCACGCATTGACGTGGCAAGGTCATGGCCTTGGCTCAAGGCCATTACATTTTACCCCAATTTAAAATTTCGTACCAAACTACTAGGCCAAGGCATAAGCCTTGAGCTCAAGGCATATCCTTGAGCCATTTTCAAAATGTTTACATCACTCATTAAATCCATGGTCATGGTCAAAGTTGTGTTTAAATTTCGCCTTAACAACATCTACGAAATATCGTTACCGTAAGAACTGACAGATTTGAACCCGGATTATTGAGCACCAGCCCAGCACGATCTACGCTAGCAGCCCAAACTCACCATTCCTGTATGTTCAAGAACGAATGCTATGTGTTACATTTTATCAACAAAGTTTGAAAATGAATTACAAAGTACCTCACAGAATTGAAACCGCAGGACAACCCGGTCCTATTTTCCAACATGTTTACGGCGCACAGACCCTAGAAACTTGCAAAGTTCTAGGAAGGCTTCAGAATTTGATGTGTGTTTACGTTTTCGTTTAACAAACAAGAAACAGTCAACAAAAACAAGTCATGTGCAATTAGATTAAAAAAGCATAGATTTTAACGCGGACAATGTCATTCTAAACGAGATGAAATGATTTGTGATCGTATTTTGAAAAATCGGGCTTGCAATGCGAGCCCGCGAAAAGAAACGTTAGGCTTGAGCGGTCCTCATACCTACCGTAGCCCGCTTTGTCGTTGACAGTTCATCGCCGATCGTTATTGTCACCGCTGCGTTATCGTGTGTAGTCACGTCTTCAGTCATCATCATCGTCGTCTTCGTCGTCCGCTCCATCATCAATTCTAGTCTTTCGTCCGTCATCATCATGCATTCTCTTCGTCATCATCATCATCATCGTCGTCGTCGTCGTCATCATCATCATCGTCTTCGTCGTCGTCGTCATCATCGTCTTCGTCATCATCATCATCATCGTCGTCGTCGTCGTCATCATCATCATCGTCTTCGTCGTCGTCATTGTCGTCATCGTCGCCATCACTGTTGTTAACGCAGCAGCATGACTGAACAGCAAACATTGAGGACACGAATGTAATGAACTAGTAATGGTGTGTATTATGCAATAATAGCAAATGACATTCAAGCTCCCACGCCCCAGACAGAACCTGCATGTACAAGGGCTGAAGTAGAGCTCTTCAACTGTTCTACTTTTTCTCTGCCCGTCTTTTTTTACACAACAGCAGCATACGTACAATCACATCATATGTTCGCACACGAAGCACGACTGCTCGATTTTTCAACGCATACGGATTCCACGCCACGTGTGCCCCAGGCACTCAATCATTGCTGTGAACATAATCAGGTGGCCACAAACGAAGCACTGTCTACAGCCACAATGCCTATCTTCTAAAGATACTTTCGTTCGCATAATCTCTATTATCTAAATTCCGTCGGTGGCCAAACTGGTTTTGATACGCGTGTCCGTGTTCATACCTGTACCTGCTTACCATGACGTCTTGAATTCCCTAGATATATAATTTATATATACATATACATATATATATATATATATATATGTAAGCTAAACCAACCTCCTCGGCATACAAGACCTTCTACCTGTTTAACATGCTTCGTATAGCATTAAAGCTGCCTACTATAAATGCAGCAAAGCCCTTCAACAACTCTGTATATACATCACGATTTATACCTCATCGCAGTAACGTTCACCCAACGTCGCCGGCATGCACGCGCGTCCTCACGATTCCGCTAAAAATATATCCGCCGTAAAATAGTTCCATTCCGCGCACCGCCGCGAGACAACACGACATTTCGTGTTCGCTCAAACAACACTCAAGCTCTACGCGTAGCAAAAATACATGCGTCACAGATTTCTCCGCTGACGCGTGAATATCTGGAAGGTGACGCAGCATAAAATACGCATATAAATACTCAACTGTATTTATATGCATTTGCGACCTTCGTCGATTCCCCAGCTACCCGCGATATGTCCTTAATACGAATCGGCGTTTAGATTAGTTTAAGATACATTCAGTGACTTACGTCGACGACATTAAAATCAAATACACGGACTGAGAGCAATTGTCTGATGAGCTTACTCACAACCAGCAGAAAATACTTCTAGTTGGAAACTGGATTTTTCACAATTTTCCCTTACGAAGCGCGGTTTCTATGTGTATATCTGGTTGGATTGCACAGTGGCGAAGGTTTTCTCCGCTCACTGTTTTGCACACAGATCCACCAGAAAGAAATTTTCAATATTACGACATTTCGTCATTTACGTTCTTAAGCGTGATTTGTAGGAAGAATCCCCAAAGCGTGTTCATCGACGTGGCTCCACCTAGTGACAAGGTCACCGATGTCGCGCAGCTCCCTCTAGTGGTGGCTTTTCTGTAGCTTCACGACCAGCGTCCTCTGGTGGTTGGTCAGTGGCTGGGCGCTAGCGGCAGAGTGGTGCTAACAGTGCCCCCTGTTGATCGTGGTTTAACTCGATTCACTAAAACCTTGATAGAACCTGGATCGAAAATAGATGTGCATGACTCACTTGTTGAAATGTTGTTGACCACATTCGCGAAACGACTGTGCACTCACGGCAGCAACAGTAGGCGACTTGAAATGTTAAAATTCAACAATTCAAAACCTCGCCGAGTGTAATAATGCTTGACGCCAAGCTATAAGCCTAGTGAGCAAGTGGCGCCACCTCTCGGCAGTTCTTGTAATGAACGTGACATATAAAGGCGTTACACATGGTTAGATTCTTCCAGTCAGGTTAACGAAATATAGCTATTTGTTACTCGGTTCTTACGTTTACTGACATATAAGCTGTGTAACACGATGAAACATTAAAATTGGGACAACAAATCTGCTTTAGTTTATATGATATTAATATCAGGGCGATTATTCAAACCTGTGCCACACGACATGGACGCTAATCTAATGGAGTCAACTTACTCCTGTACGGATGGATACCCACGCATGCAAACTACTGATATGACATCCTTATTGCGTTATAAATTATAAATTTCTATAGATGCAAATAGTCAGGGAAAATAAAACATCTCAAAAAAATTGTTCAACGACCGGAATAACATTCTCTTGTTATTCGGGCGACTTACCTGTAAAGTCCGCCGTCACGAGCGCTTCGCCCAAATACCCGGGTTCGTGAGCGCAAGATGGCCGCCGCTGCAGTTCCTGTGTTAGCGGGTCAGCGACAGAGCCGGCTGCTGCTGCTCCTGCAGCTGCTTCTGCTGACAAGCCCGATGTAGATTTCCTGCAATGAAGAAGAAAGAGAGACAAGCGGACGGATTACTGGTAACGCATCGAACATAACGTACGTACGTCGATGCGATAGAAAACAAGCAATACCGACTTCGATAATCGATTACGGTTTGCGCGGTAGCTGCGATCGTCGCCCGCTAAGAAACCAACAGCTCGAATCGCCGCAAAATTAGACGACGAACGATCAAATTCGGACTGCAGTCGTCTGTCGTCCCATCGTCCTCCGCGCTGTTCCGTTGTTTACACAGCTCGCCGTTGCACACGCGCTCACACGCACGCACCTCTCGGCTCGCCACTCCTCCTGTATAAGCAGCGCTGGGTTGGGAGCGAAGACGGCTGCCGTGACGACGGCGCTGTGCGCGCGGATGCCCTCCCAGTAGTCGTTGCGGTCGCGGCGGGCCGACGAGAACTTGGCGTAGTCGTGGTAGGCCTTCCAGATGTAGATGTAGTGGTCCTCAGACGCACAGACGATGTACCTGCACGACACACACACACACACCACGGCTGACATACGGAAACATAAAATATATTATATATATATCAAGAGTCCATAATAGAGAAGAGTATGACACTGTTTTAACAGCGTTTTTCGTAGTTTTCAACTTGAATTTATTCTATCAATATGTGAATAAATATATTCAAACTTTACCTTTGTTACTTGTTTTGTTCTCTGATTCTCCCTTAATCATAGCCAGTTTACCTGAAAATCGTATGTGTTCTTCAAAAAAGTTCTTTGAATACGACATGGTTTCACACCTTTTTCCCCACGATTTGCATCTCTCCGATAACAGTTGCTGTTACTACGGCACACTGCAGGTTGTTGGGGATATTAGGCATCGAATTGTATGCAGTGTGTATATATATTGCGTTTCCAGCGTGCTAAAAATAAATGTGTGTTCACAGCGTGCTAGCAGCTGATTTTAGCTGTGTTGCCATCGTGTTCCGTATGATAATGAAGCGCTGTCACTGTGCTTACCTAATATCCCCAACAGCCCCCAGCGTGCCGTAGTAACATCAACTGTTATCGGACAGATGCAAATGGTGGGGAAAAAGGTGTGAAACCGTGTCGTATTCAAAGAAATTTTGTGAAGAACACATACGATTTTCAGGTAAACTGGTGGTGTCATATGGTTAAGGGAGAATCAGAGAACAAAATAAGGTAAAGTTTGAACATATTTATTCACATTGATAGAATAAATTCAAGTTGAAAACTACGCAAAACGCTGATATAACAGTGTCATACTCTTCTCTATTATGTACTCTTTTTGAGCCATTTTCAAAATGTTTACATCACTCAATTAAAGTCATGGTCATGGTCAAGTTGTGTTTAAATTTCGCCTAACAACATCTCGAAAATATCGTACCGTAGAACTTGACAAGATTTGAACCCGGGATTATTGAGCACCAGCCCAGCACGATACGCTAGCACCCAAACTCACCATTCCTTGTATGTTCAGAACGAATCTATGTGTTACATTTTACTCAACAAAAGTTTGAAAATAATTTACAAAGGTACCTCACAAGAATTGAACTCGGGACAACCCGGTCCTATTCCAACATGTTACGCACACGCCTAAACTTGCAAGTTCTAGGAGGTTCAGATTTGATGTGTGTGTTACGTTTTCGTTTAACAACAAGAAAAGTCAACAAAAAAGTCATTGCAATTAGATTAAAAAAGCATAGATTTTAACGCGGAAATGTTCATTTATAAACGAGATAGAAATATTTGTGATCGATATTTGTGAAAAATCGGGCTTGCAATGCGACCGCAAAAGAAAGTAGGTCTGGACGTCCTCAACCTACGTAGCCCTTTGTCGTTGACATCATCGCCATCGTTATTGTCACCGCTGTCGTTATCGTTGTAGTCATCGTCTTCGTCATCATCATCATCGTCTTCGTCGTCGTCATCATCATCATCGTCTTCGTCATCATCATCATCGTCTTCGTCGTCGTCGTCATCATCGTCTTCGTCATCATCATCATCATCATCGTCTTCGTCGTCGTCTTCGTCATCATCATCATCGTCTTCGTCGTCGTCGTCATCATCGTCTTCGTCATCATCATCATCATCGTCGTCGTCGCGTGCTGCTTGCGTGCGCTGCGTGCGTTGCGTGCGTTGCTAAGTGCGCTTGCGTGCGTGTGCTTTGCTGTCGGTCGCTACAGAGGTGATGTGTTGTGTGTTGTGTGTGTGCATGCGTGTGTGTGGTTGTGGTGTGTGTGTGTGTATGTGTCGGTACAGTCGCCTGAGTCTTCGCTGCGAGGCGATGGTGTGTGTTTGCATGTGCACTCGTGTGTGTGGTGTGTGGTCGTCGCCTGGTCTTCGCTGCTGAGGGCAGGCATGGTGTGTGCATTGTGTGTGTGTGTGTGCGTGTGTACCGCGCCTGAGTCTATCGCTGCGAGGGCGAGGTGGGGGGTGAGCCGTGCTTGTGTTGTGTGTGTACGTCGCCTCGGTCTTGCTCGCGAGGCGAGGGGTGTGCTTATGTCATGCGTGATGTGTGTGTGTCGTGAATCCCCACCCGTGTTGTAAACGTCGCCTGGTCATTTCGCTCGAGCGGCGAGGCGCGCTGTGTGATGTGCATGCGTGTGTGTGCTGTGTGTGTGTGTTGCTTGATGTGTGTGCTTGCATGCGTGCGTAGCTGAATATGATGTGGCTGACTGTGTAGCGGAATTGTGTTGTTCCGTGCGCAATGTTTGGAATACGTTCGTGACGGCGATCCGTCGCCGCGGGTAACGTGCGCCTCTCGTCACATCCACGGGTCGGCGTCGTCTGCGTTGTAACTGCGGCCCTCCACCTCACCAGGTCGAGCCGCGCGCAAGAACGCGACAGAGCAGTAAGATCAGCCGGCATCGAGTCCGCTGCCGAGTGAGAACAAGATCCTGATCACGTCGATAGACTCGCGCATCCGCCTCTACGACGCTGCGCGACCTTCGATCTGCAAGTGACATATGGCCTGACGAACAAGCAGCAGCCGTGAGATCTAGCATCCTCAGCCACGATAACAGGTGAGGATTGTAGTCAAGGCCTCCCTCAGCCACGATAACAGGTCGTGGCAGGATTGTAGTCTAAAGGCTCCTCTCAGCCACTGTGGATAACAGGGTGAGAGATGTAGTCAAGGTTCCCTCAGCCACGGGTGATAAAGGTTTAGCGATTTATCAAGGCCTCCCTCAGCCACATAACAGTGTGAGATTGTAGTATAGAATGTAAGCCGCAGCAGGTCTCGAAACGGTAAAGCGGAGTTTGGTGACTAAGTAATTATAAGAGGTAATAGATATTACAGGCTGAAATTAATAATAATTATATAATTAAAATATTATTAATGTCATATACTTCGAGATGCAACACAAGAATTTTCTGCTTGTCGCGTGTGCTGAACTTTGGACATTTTACGTTTACATATTGTTGGTATAAATATAATGGTATATATTCGTGTGATATATATCAAGAGATACATAATAGACGTTTGAGAGTTGACGACGTGTTAGTATCAGCGTTTTGCGTTGTTTTCAACTTAATTGTATGTTCTGATCACGATGCGTGTAATAGAATATGTTCGAGAGACTACTTATTTTGTCTCTGAGTTTCCCTTAACCATATACACGCACCAGTTACCTGAAAAATCGTATGTGTTTCTTCACAAAATTTCTTTGAATACACGACGGTTCACACGGCTTTTATCGCCACCATTTGCATCTGTGTTCGATAGCGAGTGAGTGTTTACTACGGCACGCTGGGCGGTCTGATTGGGGATATTATGTAGCACTGAGTCAATAGCAGCTGTCGTGTATCATACGCGGAACCCGATGGGCATCACAGTCTGAAACATCGCTGCTAGCACGCCAGTGATCACATTTATATCTTTAGCACGCTTGTTTTTGCGGAATACGCAAGGATATATAATACACACTGCATACAATTCATGTCCAATGTATCCCCACAGCGTGCAGTTGTTGCCGTAGTAACAACAAACTTTATCGGAGAGATGCAAAAAATCGTGCGGGAAAAGGTACGTTGTAAACCATGTCGCGTCAGTTTTCAAAGATACTGTTGTTGAAGAACAAGTTAGATTTTTCAGGTAACTGGCTTATGATTAAGGTAAATCAGAGAACAAAACAAGTACAAAGGTAACGTTTGAATATATTTATCACGATTAATAGAATAAAGTCAAGTTGAAACACGAAAAACGTGTTAAAACAGTGTCATACTCGTTCTCTATTATGTACTCTTATTAGTATTATTAAGAATTTTACGAGTTTGCGTGTTGTGGACGTATGCATCC